TTGTTGCTCTTCTTTTTAATCATTTCCTTCTGTCATCTATTAAAAAGATAAATTAAAAAAAAAACTCTCATAAGATATTTCATCTCCTTCTCTTCATAATTTTCTCTAATTTTTCTATAGAGAAAGATTAACTTCTATTAAGATTTATAAAAAAAAATATGTTATTGAAATTTTTTTTTTCCTTATTTTGATTGTTTATTTTCCTAATTTAGGTAACATATATTTTTGTATTTTCTTTAAAAAAAAAATTTATTGATATGAAAAATATAACTTTGTTACTGAATGTTGTGTATCATTTTTTATGTACATACTCCATACAATTCACAATTTTTACTTTTACCCACATAATTTGTAAAACACACTGCCTATAAGCACTTAAAAGCAATATAAAACAAACACGAATGATTGATATAAGATGTTAAGGTCAATACTAAGCGCATGTTCAGTAAACAAAACAGCATGTAAAAAGCTACAAATAAAAGCTTACATCAGGCAAAATATGTTTCCACAGTAAAATGGGATTAATACCCTAAATAGTCATTGGACTTTGTCAAAAGTTCACAGGAGGTCACCAAACTTCAAAAGTTCCCTAAATAGTCACTGAACTTTGCAATAAGTTCCTAGGAGGTCACTGAACTTCGTTAATACCCTAAATAGTCACCGAACTTTGCCAAAACCTCCCAAGAGGGCATCGAACTTTGGAAATTAAGACCCCATACATCTATGGTTCATTGATCAATTATGAATTTTTTACAAAGTTGAGTAACTATCTAGGGAAGTTTTGGTATAGTTTGATGACTATTTAGAGTATTAACGAAGTTCAGTGATCTCCTAGAAACTTATTGCAAAGTTCAGTAACTATTTAGGGAACTTTTGAAGTTCGATGACCTCTTGAGAACTTTTGGCAAAGTTCGGTGACTATTTAGAGTATTAACCCCAGTAAAATGCATTACTTATTTGTCTAGATACAAATTAATTGTTTCAAGGTTCAAAAGAGAGTGGTGAATGTGCTATTATTTGGTGAAACGATTAACAGATGCACAGAATGCAAACAAAAGTTCCTTCTTTAAGAAACCTGGATTTTACTGAAACCAGGAGAGAAATAATAGCGCCCAGCAATATTTTCCGTGCAATATCTCATGAAATTACGTTTTACATTATGGATTTTATCAAGTGGTAACACCAAGCACGTTCATACTTCTTTTGTTTAGTGGTTCTGGTGTTGCATAATGAAATGAGCGTCTGCTTGGTTTATATTGTAGGCATTTCTATCATTTCGCATTACTGGATCCTATATATAAGGTGCCACTAGTAAATTTCCCCATTCATTCGTGTTTCAATTTTTTTCTGGGAGTACAATGACTAACACAAGTTTCTTAACAGACTTATGTCTGGCAATATCATCTAAAAAATTCCTCAACTCCCATCCACGTTTATCATCTATAAAATCAAGTCATCATTTTCATGTACATTTAAGTTAAATGTATAGAATTGTATAGTTACAGGATTATGTTTGGGAAGAACTGAGGAAATTTTTAGGGAGATACGCTATAAGGGGCCATAGGGTGGCTAAGATTGATAGGGATTTTACCGGGGCAAGCCTGAGCAAGGTAAAGGAACATATACAAAAATAGGCTCTTCTAAACTAAGATAAATTACCCATGAAAAAGTTTGCGCACAAGCTTGCCAATCGTAGAAGCAGCAATACTTAGGCAGGAACATGCAAAGAATAACAACTGGAAGCATCTGCTAGTGAGGTAATTGAAAACATACCTCTACTTTGAAGTACTCAAGATTCACGTAAGAGCCTGAAATCTGACCACTTTCTGAGATCTAGAGATTAAATTTGGGAAGAATGCACCATTAGTATTAAAACTATTGCCAAATAGCAAGTTGATCACTGATAAAAGTCCAACAAACAAGTTGGTCCTCAACCTTTGATTATAGTTGCACGATCAGTCCTCAAAAATCAAAACCGTTCAAATCTCCATTAAATCGTCGCATGGCCCTTGTGGGGTCTGATTGAGAAACAACAATGATAGGTTGAGGACCAACATGCTCCTTTTTAAAGGTTGTGGACGATATTCTATCTGGCAATAGGTTGGGGACCTATGATGCCATTTCCATAAAATATTGTGCTTCAACGTCGACGTTTTCAGGGATCTTTATGATGCAAGTTCAGACAGAAATCGCAGATTAATGAAAACGTGGAAAAGGCTGGAGATTATCCAGCATTTGGAAGTTTGTATCAGTAGGTAATGGCTGTAATAATCCACTATTTGACAATTCCTCCAAGCTTTTGATGTCCTGTTGCAACCGCGTGACATGCGATATGGCATGTTCAAGAACCAGAGGATCATCTGGCATATTTTCTAGGAGGCTAAGCAAAACCTGCCTATAAACTTGAGCAGCCAATAATGGCCTTGCTACCTGTCGACTTCTACAGAATATTGCAACTTTAATCACATGCTTGCAAATATTACCCAACCTTGACCATGAGCAATCACAGAGTGCAAACTCCGAACCTGGGTTCCAAATTGTATATTCCACAGTACTGTCTGCCTGAGAAACAACCTTTGCAAACTCGAGATTTTCTTCGTGTAGTAGTACATCCACGTCAGGGATGTGCACAGCCTGATACCAAGAGTTGGTCGAGACATACCTATCCCTCAGATATTCAAAATGTCCAGTCTCTGCAATATATTGGTCAAACCAATACAAGGAGTGAAATTGAGTTGTTAATGTGTGGATCAAGAAGTCAAGTCTCTGATGAGAATTTGCATATAGCAGATTAAGAACTTTGGATTTCAATCTTAAGTGATATACTTCTATTGAAGCATATGGCTCTTGATTTGCCACTGGGAGAGTTCTGACACAATTGACCCACAATTCTGCAAAATAAGATATCATATTAAAATTATTTTTGCACATATGCATGCAAAAACATGCTTAAAGCAACACTTAAACTGAAGATGAAAATACTAAATGGTGAAGAAGTTCCTGGAATAAGCAAAAGCACATAAACCCTACCAGAAATATGAAAAATTAAGAGACCATACCTATCTTTGGCAACCATTTGTATCTAAAGTGTTCTAGAAATGCACGCTGATCGACATATATTTGCATGAACTCTTCAGCTGCATCAACCACATTTTGCCCACTTTTTGAGCTGTACAAAATCCTGCCCACGTGCTTAAACATCTCCCTCTGCACATCAAAATTGCTGCAATTCTTCAAAAGGCTTTTCAACCAACAGCGACGCACGTGCCAAAGGGATAATAAAACGCGGCATTGGAAGGCCTCTCTACAAGTGACAAGCATCATATTAGCAATTTTCCAGTTTCAAACCCACAACTAGGGAATGACAACATCTGAGAATCAAACTGCAAACTTACCTTATAACTGAAGCCTCGACAGAAGGATCATCCACTAGAATTGCACAAGGTCTCCACCTTGGGTCCTTCTGATGAATTCTTTCAACGAGAGTCAACATCCATTTGTAAGTACTTGGACCAGGCGAACTTGAGGTAATGACCCAGGCAATCGGAATTGGATTCTGGGAAGAGTCAAATACAAGCAGGGAGCACAAAGCAAACTGCAGAAGTCAAAAGAAGAAAGCAAAATAGTAAAGATTCCCAATCATCAAGATAAAGTAAATGCAAGATGTACTAATCTATTCTTTTTATGTTAAAGGTTTTCTTATTAAATTTTCTTAGTCTTATTGTCTGCAACCAGATGACCTGAGTCGTCCAATTGTGCAGCTTCCAAAGGCCAAAAAAGATAGGAAAAGAATTAAGAAAGAAAAAATTATATATAAATGTGCAGTTTCCCCAATAGCATCGCAATCAGTCACTATTTTCAAGCTATGCAGAAGGTAAATTTCTTGGCTTTCTATTTTTGATTATTACTTCTTAGTTTTGTTCCCCTTCTTAATACACCAGAATTTAGCCCCTCAAGTTTCTGGAATTGCTAATCTCTCTTTCGTATCAGAGCTCTTCTCAGAACATTTTTTATGCAATTATTCATTGTACTAGCAAATGTGGTAAACAATCAGTTCCATATGCCGTTAATCACACTTCTAATTTGTATGGGAGATGAAGATGAAATACAATCATTCCTAGGCCAAGAAAAATGAGACAAACGAACCTCAAATTTTTTAGAGTTATATGCTGAATGAAAAGCAATGGATGCATTATGTCCATAACGAAGCATCTTCTGAAGCTGCCAATCTGACTGTATCCCTAATATAAGAGGTTCAGAACCGGAGTTCTCTTGGAAATGAAAAACGTGCTTATGGTGGCGTTGCACCCATATCATTACACTGCATTTGTCATTGGCATGTAATTCATGGGACAATTTGTGTATAATCCTTTCCATATTACGCACATCATTACGAGTCAGAAAATCATCCCTGTTGTGGGGTCCTCCATGCCTCTGCACCTGTTCCATGTGATGTTGGATTATCATGTCCAAAGATATTCCAACATGAAGCATGGACATCACTTTTTGACGTAGTTCCTCGGAAATACGAGGAGCATACATTGCTCTTGTCCCTACAGCTTCCTGATCTAGTACTCCATGACATGGTGCTCCTGTTTTGTCCACATGATTTCTCTGATTGAAGATTATAAGGGCAAGGAGTGGACGGTTGTATAAGCGTTTAACAGTAAAATGGCAAAGACATCCCCTCATCATGTGTCGTCTCCCAGGCCTACTTCCCTTACCAGATGCAGGTTTAATGCTTGAGTTCTCTCCAATACCAGATTCGCTGTCCCTGTAGTCTTCAGGACCATAAGAGCACCAATACCTAAAAAATTCATGAAATATGTACAAGTTATTAAAATGTTTTTCTAGCAAAATTTCACATTGGTAGAACATGTAACAAAATGTAAGACAAACAGCTATCAGCATAAATTACAATATTAAGTTGTCAGTCTTGTACACAACCTTTGTCTAAGGAAACAGATGATAGACCAGACTATTAATTTCTAGCCCAAGGGTGATATTTTAACAAAGCACAAATACGACACAAGACTTACAAGAAGCTACATACAGTGTATATTCAAGATATCCGTCAACCCTTGGTTTGTTGAGACTCCCTTCAAGCCTCTTCCTTCTCGATTCAACTCGGAAACGAGCTGGACATTCTGCGTTACTGGATTCTCCTTTGACAAAATCATCCACTCTAGCAAAAGGAATTAGTGCAATATCATCACCACCTTGACGACCACCTTCTACTTTCACCCAATTTAGATGAGCAGCAGAAAACTCTGCATATGGAGGATCTTGCACAGGAAGGCTTAATATATCCTCCATTCTAGGCATCTACATTAAGAAGACGCACATGGTAGCAACAAAAGTTTCAGAGATGACTTTAGAGAATGCAATAGGCATTATGAGAAATTTAACTTTGGCAAGTGTGACATTGCTCCATAATTTCAGCAGTCAGTTATTGTAGGAGAAAATAAATGAGACTGAATTATGTATGTACATAAGCCCAAGGATTTGGTAACAAGTTAATTTTTTTGTGAAATAAGTCCCAATAAAATTTTTTGTAAAATACGTGATTGAAATCTTGAGGTACTCAAAATAAAAAAAAAATTATAATGTACTCCTTCATATCCTGGGCCCTGGGGCACTTTTCTGTACACTAATCAATGTTGAACATGCGTTGCATGTTATTATGCAATATTTTATAAGTGTTGTAAAAGTAATATTTGAATATGCGTGAATGTTAATTAATTTAAAATTAATACAGAGGAATATATACGTGACAACGAATGTTAAATCATTTATTTAATTTTCAATTACGTAAAATTGAATGTTAATTAGCATGCATAAACGTGAATAATGAAATGCATTCTTAAATGTGAAATTCTAATTAACTTTAATTAGAATTAATAACATTCAAATGTATAAATGAATATGAATATTAATTAAATGAACGTGAATGTTAATTAAATGAGAATTAATGATAGTGAATTCTTACATTAATGAAAGCATACAGGTAATATGAATATGTCAAATGTATATATACATTGATGGTAATCAAATGGTTAAATAAATTATATACATATTGAATAACGAAAAGTAATGTATTATAGAAATAATAGAATTATAGAAGGGCTAGAATCGTCCAAAAAATATTCTCACTTGATGTGAGATTTAATATATTATAGACCGTTCAAATCTCCTTCAATGAAAATTTTAATTGACCAAAGATTGTCCATATTAACCATCCACATCTTCATAAAATTATTGATTTATTCTCTTATCTAGTTCTATTTAAAAGGACATACAGATTGATAACACAAATCGACTTCTCTTCCAATACAGACCAACACAATCATATCCTTGATCCGTGCACGTTTACCATGCCATCTTTCAATTCAAGTTCAATGATCATTCCTCCTCCATTTTCACTCTTTTCTTCACAATGTATACAAAAATTTACATCCATCTTCCCGAGTTCTTTTGCCTACTTGTCTGCACAGATCATCTCTTGCACGAAGGTCATTGAATCTCTTCCTACGTAGCACAGTAATTATTTCTATATATTTTTCTACAAGTTCATTATGTTCCAAATTCCAACCTTAAAAGTATATTATCTTGGACTAGTTTCTTACCCACCGTTTGAGCAAGTAAAAGGCTTATTTATCCCAGATTAATTCTTCATTCCAAGTTTACGTATGATTAAGTTCATTTCTATATTGACCAAATATAATATAAAAAACGTAAAGAATTAAGAACAGAAGATAATATACAAACAAGTGAAACAACACATACATAAAAACTTCTCCATAATATCTTGGAACGGATTTTATCCACAGGCCGCAGACAAATACCATTAACACGTTACTGAGCTTTCTTTATACAGAGAATTAAAGGTATATTTATGGGAATAAACCAGGAAAGGTACTAGCACGTTAAAGCTACAAAACAGATAAATTGAAAAAATTGAGTATTATGAATAAACATTGTACCTTTGCTTCATGATCCTTCATTTTTCCTCCAACAATTCAACAAGATTACACCTTTATCCTTAAAGCAAAGAAACAAAAAAAGAATGTGTTAGAAAAAAAAAAGTGTTCGTTTCAGTTTAATTTTTTTTTTTCCCCATTTTTGTGCCAAATACTAAGAATATTATAAGAAAAAATGGAAATGCACGTTGAGTGACAGTTGTTTTTCCTTTTTGCATAAAATTGAGGAAATCAGCAGAAACCCACGAAGGAATTCGTAATAAATTAACAGAAGAAATAACGTACTTAGAAACCCATAAAACGAAGTGCAGAAAAAAAGGAGGATAGAAAAGGGATTATAAAAAAGCAAAAGGGCTTATGAAATTGTACAAGAATGGAAAGAAAATTGATTTGCAAATACGGTGAAATAGAAATTTTAGAAAAAAGGACAGAAATCAAGAAGCAGAATTACCTGTAATTTCGTCTAGTTTTTGTTGGGCTCTCTGTTCTGTTAAGACTCGGAGTGGGAACAAAAGGTCGGTGAAACGCGATTTCATACCTCAGTTCATAATACTTCATAGACTCATAGTTTAGTTTCCTACTTCTTGAAAATATTGAGAAAATGAAAATTACTATCAATTGTTTTCGTTCTTTTTTGGGTCTTACTGAAAGGGTTAATTTTGAAGTCTTTCGCGATACATACATAAAGATATTTTTTATTCTCTCTGTCAATTTATTATTTATTTGTATTTTATTTTTGTAGCTAAAAAAAAAGATTTATCAATTTTAAAATATATATTACTTGATAATATATTAGTATAAAATTATTCTATTTTATTGAATGATCAAATTCATTAAATAAAATGTTCTATAACAATTTCTAAAAATTCCAAATTTTCGCTTTTTTATTTTGATAAAAAGTTATTCAAAATGACAAATTAAATCATTTTTCTGTCTTCTTAAAACGGACACTCAAAACAGTAAATTGAAAACTGAAATTTTATATAAATGGGGCCTTGACTTTTGAAATAGTTCAATGAAAATTTGGTGACATGAGTAGCATATGCGTGTGTGCACGTGTGACACTTAGGTCATTGATTGGTGCACCAATCGAAAAATTTTTTTTTATGTAAATTATAATGAATATTATCAAGGGTATTATTATGGTGGATAAATGTGGATAATAATCTTTCAATTTCATTTAAAAGAATGCCATTTACATTTTTTTTTTAAGCTTTAATTCACTTTCAACCTATCATTGATGTTATACGGCCTATTAGTCATTTTGAATGAAAAATGAAAAACTATTATACATATTAATCTATTAGCGAGTCATGTTATATGTACACTTTGATTTACACCTTAGTTTACACTCTATTGTGTTTGACTGATTAATTTTAAAAATACATTTTTCAATCAACTATTAGATTTTTGACACATAGAAAGCGTCAACAGAAGTGTACACATTTAAGTGTACAAGTAATCTTATTATCTATCATAATACCATTTACCTGATACTATCCATTATAATTTAAATTCTTTTACGACTTAATCTGGTGCACAAAACATAACCTTATTGGAATAACCTAGTCAATTTTCGAATTAGTGAAAAGACATGCACATTGATAATAAAAAATTTCGTTCACCTTATGTGATAAATTTGTGATCGTAGTTAGTATCCATACTCTTGACGGATTTCATTTTGAGTAATTTGTATTTTGTAGCTCTAATACAAGGCTTGAGTTCTGCATTCTTCACTATGGATATTATTTTTGGCACAGAGGCATATTTACAAGTAGCATCTCCCTTTTCTTTTTGGTGCTTTACGCCTTTACCTGAACACTAATGCTACTCAAACAGGGGCTATGGACAGGGTTTTAAACAGGGGCTGGGGCATCTCTTTTACCTGAAACTAGTAGTCGATACAAATTTTGTGGGGTCTAATTTAACTACAAGAAAAAATTTTAAACGCCGAATATTATAATATTAAATAATATTTATATATTTTTATTATTTATTTATTTTTAAAATTTCAGTGAGGCTTGTGACTCCACTGAATCCCGATTGCCTCAAACATTGCGTGAAACTCTATTTACAAATTTCATACGGTACTATAACAATTTAATTTTTAACGAAATGATTTATTGCTCATTTGATTTTGCCAAAAGTCATTTTTTTAGTAAATTTTGATAGAAATTAATGAAATGTGTGGTTTAAATTAACTATTTACTTTGATTTATATTTTTATCAACTTTTTAAGATAAATCGAACAAAGGCCAAATATTATATTAAATATCATTTGTGTATCAAATGAAAAACTTGGTGGCGTTTTTCGTCTTGGTACATAACATGAGGTTTTGTGTTCTGAATATGTTGTGGACATATAATCAAATGAAATGGATAAAAGAAATCGGGATTTGCTAAGTGTACGGATCCCCTAACAAGAGGGGGCTCACGATTTTTTTATTGGTAATGGGCCGCCTCTTGTGAGGGAATTTGTAAATTGAGGTGTCAAATCCGGTGTATAAATAGCAAAACCCAAAGATAGGCACAAAAGAGAATTCTTCATTTTCATGTTAGGATAGAACCTCTGAAACCATTTATTTGCTAAAAACACAAGTCTACATTACTAGAAGTTTGCATCATGTTAGAGACTCCTATACTTAGCAGATTTTGGCATAGATCCGGGGGTCTCTCCATTAGATAATGGTCTGTCACATAGAAAAAACACACTTCAAATGAATATATATATATATATATA